CAGACAGCACCGGCATGGTGATGGAGTGAGCGCTCAGGACGTCATTATTTATCACGTCATGGTAAGTATATTCGCTTCTAGCCCGTACCGTGCCAGGTGATTCGTTTGAGTAGATCCGTGACAACGCGTCGGCCAACACATTTTCTGTCCCTGGCACGTACACCACGTCGAAGTCGAAGCTTGATATCTTCTCGATCCATCTTGCCTGACGACCGGACAATTCGCGTTGGTTCATCAGGTGAGTCAGGCCTTTGTGATCCGTGATCCATTGAAACTTACATCCTTGAAGGATGTCTCGATGGCGCAGCATAGCCTCTACTCCGGCCATCATCTCAATCTCGTGAACAGCATAGTTCTGCTGGGCTGAATTGAGCTTAGCAGAGAAGAACGCCGCCACTCTCGCGTTCCTCCAATCGGGGCCCTGGCAGACCACTCCAGCCACGCCCGTGGCACTCCCGTCCGTGACTAGGAAGATAGGTTCCGCTTCGGGGCCATAGTCAAGCGGCGTTCGGTGGTGGTTCCGGAGGTCAGAAACTATCCTTTTGATGTCTTCGAATGCGCGCTGATGCGTGTAGCCCCAGCGAAATGGTACCGTATCTCCGGTGAGCCCGTGTAGGACAGCCATAGGAACGCGCACATGGGCCAGGTCGTCTGCCAAATACCCGACCGAACCCAAGAACCCTCTCAACAGGTCGCGGTTCGTTGGGGTTTTCCAATTCAGGACCGAGTCAACTTTGTCCGAATCCATGCGAATTCCTTTGTCCGTTGATAGGCTGGCTACCAGACGCGCTCTGCACCAGCTCTGTAAGGGCGTATTTTTGCGCTTTTTACAGAGTTTACTCTTGAACCACTCGGTGTATCGTGTCGCGGTTAACAGTGTTGCGCTCAGTAGGACTTATGGGTCTACTGCCCAGTCGACGACTGTGGATAGTGTCGACGATAGCAAGGCAGTCAGACCACTACTGTGGAACTGGTCTTATGAGTCAACACCAGGCTCAGGGCCATTAGTGACGAACGCTTGGACCGCGACCATTCCCCAAAAAGGGATATGTCGTTGCGTCGACTTCTCAAAAAGGGTCATTCTCTGCAGATGGGAACTTGGGCTGAAGGGCTGAGCAATGCGCGACGTTCTCAATAATAGAACTACTACTGGACAGGACTTGGCGTTACAAGACTTAAACCATCTTGTCGCGGCAACTCCCGGTTTTGAGTTGGACGTTTCCTCAGATCATGCCACGACGACGACTTGTCACATGTCAGGATCCATTCGATCACGGGACATTGTGGACGCGTCGCGGTGACACTTCCAAGTGTCACGGCGAGTCGCGCCCATACTCAAACACACTAAAATCGATACGGCTAGATCCGTGAACCGAGCCATGCGGGAGACGATTGGCGTGCCTAGAGCCATACGGCTTCTTGGGGCGCCCACGTTGGTCTCACATGCCAAGACATACCCGTTGGCCAATCCAGCACGTCGTATTCCAAAAGTATGACGCGGTGAGTTGGCCCACATCAAAAGTATCATATGGACAATGGGGCGGGGTCCTGATCACTCAGGACCTGTCCGATCGTTCAACTTTCAATTACCCTAAAAGGCAACCGATCTTAGATAGCGTAGCTACTATACAGTTGTACAGGACTTTACTAAGCAGCGTCGTAGACAGTATAAGTAGCACGTCGTCTCTTTGTATTAGAGAGCTTTTCCCCGGACTGTGAATCACTCTCATTTCAGATTGTTTTGTACAATTTGCGTGCCGCGTGATTCCACCCTAAGAAGTTCTGCTACCCCTGCCCGGTCGCGACGAGTTGCTCCCTGAGCACTTGTAGCTACTGTGATTTGAGTTTTGAGTTTTGAGATATCAGAAAGTCGGATTCGCCGCATCTGGTATTGTCGCGGCATTTAGTGTCATCGCCTTAGGGCTTTGTTGAGATCGTTCCACACCTCTAGCTTGGCAGTGCGTCGACTAGTTGTGCTCGGGTTGTTTTGGTCAGTTGGCAGTGCGTCGACTTGAGAACTTTGGTTCCACACTTCTTGCTTGGCAGTGCGTCGACAAGTTGTGCTTGGGTTTTGGACATTGGATATTGGCTGTTAGTTGGCAGTGCGTCGACGCGGCATTTTGGTTTACTAGTTGGCAGTGCGTCGACTCAGTACTTTTGGTTGTGTCAGTTGGCAGCGCGTCGACTCGACATTTTGGTTTACTAGTTGGCAGTGCGTCGACTCAGTATATTGGTTGTATCGGTTGGCAGTGCGTCGACTTGATATTTGGGCTTTGCGTCACCATCTGGACGCTGTCGCTACAAGGGATCTTAATACTTCGTATTAAGCTCTGACTTGTTATATTGTTGGTTGTGGATTGGATTAGTGTTGGTTGTGTTCGTATAGGAGATATTGGTTGAGATACCATTGTTTGCTATATATAAATTCTTGTCGTCGACTTCGTCTCCGCGACTATTGGATCTGCGTCTATTGAGAGTTGTGATACTGGTGCTCTGTCCACCCCGAAGCCCTCGCATCTTTCACACACTGAGAAGCTGATTACGAGGAGTGTGAACGTGTTTATATTTGGGTTTACTTTCATAGTAGATTCACTTGTGAGCACGCCCTCAGCATTTCATCTGGAGCCCACCGCGAGGGGCTTCTAAAGTTTCATAAACTTTAAAAATCAATAAACCGGATTCTTTACCGCGACGTCGGATAGAGACCAAGGGTTTATCCCGCGAAGCAGTTTATTCCGATCCCAAGCTCCTGCGCGACCTCTTGAGGACCAAGCGGAGATTGAGACTGAAGGAAACGCTTCAACCTCAGGACCTTTCGAAAAACCACGAAGGTCTGCAAGACATAAAACACCTTTGTATCTACCACCCTTGCCTTCCAAGGCAAAAGGAAAACAAAGAGTGAATTCGACGTCGAAGCTTCCAGCTTTAGACGCGGCTACTTCGAGTTCGACGACAATCAGTCGATCTCAGACTAGCTCACAAACCCTCTCAGAATTGTCTAGTAGCGTCACCGCTACAAACACGAATTCTAACAACATCCCTACTTCCCCTGTGACTTCAGTCGCGACAACTATGGCTCCAAAGACTGGGTTCAAAATCCCCCAACCTTGGGACACAAGTAGACCTATACTTGATGAAAAGGATCCCCTGTCGATTGAGGCATATTTGCGTCACTGCGCGCAGATCGTGGAGGATGGTGGCATCACAGATGCCAAACAAGCAAAAAGCATGTACATTCGTTACCTGCCGTCGCGGCAAGTAATGGACGTATGGGAAGGTCTCGATACCTATTCCGACGACACGAAAACTGTCGCGGAGTTCGAGGCCGAAATATTAAAAGGATACCCTGAGGTGTCCAAGCGAAAAACGGGGACCATGGCAGATCTAGATAGACTCTGTCGCGAGAACCGTGGAATAAAGATAACGGATGAGGGAGATTTGAAGCGTTTCGGCCTTCAAATGTACAGTCACTACAAGCGACTGTCAGTCCCTCCTGCCATTATCACCAACAAAGTCGCGTGTGAACGCTACATGCGTACTTTGGACTCTGAGTTCAGTACCGTCTTGAGGAACGCTTTGGCTACGAGTCAAGTATTCAATAAACGCTACCAAACTCGCGCCGGGATAGCAAACGCTAATGTCCCCGCGACTGGAGTCAACCGGCAGGACGACCCCATCCAGCTAAAAGAATTAATGACAATGGCGGAAGAAATGGCGTCGACGTTGAGCAACGAAGACGAAATTCCCATAATCGCGCGACCTCCCAAGGTTCGCTTCGACTATGAGACTAGTCCACCCAACCATGCTAAGGTTGAGGAGTTGGAAAACTCGATTTCCAACTTGAAGGACTCATTTCTTCTACACCAAAAAGAGTTACAGACTCAGTTGCAGGAAGCGCTGAAGACGTTCGTACAGACTGCTCGCGAAGCGCCTATACAGCGGTCGCGGCCAGTAGGCAACAACTCTTCTGTGCCCCACTTTGAAAGTCGCGCACAAGGAGGAGCTGCCGCACGGAACGACGACTGTCGCTACTGCGGACAAACTGGTCACTGGTCGAACGAGTGCCCGCTCAAGAGGTCTCACATTGAGAAAAACCTTCTCAAAGTCGACACCAAAGGGATGTGGAGGCTCTTTGACGACAGCTTCTTACCAAATGGAGAAGGGACTCAGGGGCAACGAGTAGAGGCTTATTGGAAGAAGAAGGGCAAGTCCGTCAACTTCCAAGACTCCTACTACTTGGACCAGTTCGATAGTCGCGACAATGATGATATGTCCGACTACCCTGAAGAAGTGGCAGATGAGATACGCTCCCTTCGAAGTCAACTCATCCAATATGAGAGGAAGTCGTCGCGGCCAACCCCAGAGAGTCGCGCTGAGTCAAAGACTCAAAGAGCTGCATCTGGTTCTACCAGTAATGCAATGGAAAGTGCCATGGGCCAATTCATGCAGAAAGCCATGACCGACGCCATGGCCGGCTACTTCAACAACATGAACAGTGGTTATCCTCAGACTCAGGAGCAGTTCATTCAAACCCGTCGTGGTGCGAATAGCCAACCTGAGCGCGACGATAACAACTCGGGTTTCTAAATGGTTCAAGGAAGGGGGCTAAACCCACAAACTCAGCCAAGCCCTCTGAGGACCATGATAAACGAGCTGAGCGACGAGAGAAACCGAGGAAACCTGTGATTATTGAGGAAGTTAGTGATAGCGACGATGATGAGGAATCAGTGCGCGACAACACCGAAAAGAGAAAGGAACTACCGTTTGAGAAAGTCAAGCCCGTTCTACAAGAACCAGTACATTCTTCAAAAGCGCGCGTTCCAGATAAATACCAGTTGCGTGCACCGATTCAAAAGAAGGCTGTGGCAGAAGCAGTCTACGACAAAATGAAAAACGCGTCAGTCGACGTCACTGTGGGTGAACTCCTAGCAGTTTCGGGGACTGTCCGCGACTCCATTCTGAAGGACTCTTCGAAGAAACGAGTACCGGTTCAGAAGTCCATGCTTCAAGAAACTGGTCGCGTCGTTGAAGACGTTTGGGATGGAGAACTGAGCTACAACCTAGTCAGTGCTAAGGAATTGCCCGAACCTGTGTTCTATCATAACACAGTTGAAGGAGAAATTCCCATTGGCGCAGTTGTCGCGACGGATCCATATGAGATGTACTTGGAGTCGATACCCTCTAATGAGAACCCAAGACATGTCTATGTTGGTGATTCGTCGGCTGCTCTCAGAACGATAAACGGACGGATTAACGCGCGTCTCGACGCGGACTGCATCCTAGACAGTGGATCTCAGATTGTATCGATGGCTTTCTCAGAGGCCGTCGACGCACAATTGAGCTGGGACCCAAAAGTCGTCATCTATATGGAAAGTGCAAATGGATCTATCTCTAAGTCACTGGGATTAGCGAGAAATGTACCCTTCAGGTTTGGGACCATCCTGGTCTACCTGCAAGTGCACATTTTGGAAAGTCCAGCTTATAAGGTGTTGCTCGGCAGACCGTTTGATATCGCGACTGAAAGCAATATCAAGAACGCGGCCGACGGCAGCCAAATAATCACCATGCGCGATCCCAATCTAAAGACACGTTGTGCAATGGCTACGCAGCCACGTCGTGCAGACGACTTGCCGCGTAACACCAAAAACAACGACGGATCTACCGGCCCTACAGTTCGTCGAAACCGACGACCAGTCCAGACGAACCGAACCCTGAACGGGATTTTCAAAGAGCTTCGAGGAATTGACCAGGTTGAGTCAAGGAGAAGAAGTCGCGGTGACTGTGTCGTTGGGAAAAGATGGGAATGTAGTGTTCGAGGATCTAAGAAAGCCGCGTTCTAGTGGCCAGTTTACCCAAACTGAGCTAGTAGAGGCATATATCTTGTCGTCGAAAGAGGACAAGGAAATGAATAAAGACGTCGCTGCGTCGACTTTGTTTCATTCATATATGAATGAAAGACTCTCAGACGCGGCAACAGAAAAACTGACTGTTGGTACTTGGAGTGTACTAGACGACGACTCTTCTAGTCGCGACAAATACGCTGTGTTCGCAGGAAAGAAATACAAACCTGTAGACCAGAAGGTCAGACCAGTGTACACGATGGGTTCTGAGAGCGACCGAATAATTCGAGAAATGGTGGGAGATCCCTTGGATACGCTACCTACTCTAAACCCGCGACCACCTGATTTTACCCCAACTGGTAGATTCACGGCGGAACGCAGGGATATTGTGGACAAGTTACACAAAGGGGACTTCTTATTGCCAGAAGAACGGAAGTTGCTCATGCACTTCTACATGCTTCACAATCAGAGTTTCGCGTTCAATGATGAAGAACGTGGCGCATTAAGACAGGATATATTCCCTCCTGTCAAGATCGCGACAGTTCCCCATACAGCATATCGCGAAGGGAATATTCCTATACCTCGCGGCATGTTCGACCAAGTGTGCAAGGTCATTAAAGACAAAATCGCGGCCCAGGTCTATGAGCCTTCCAATTCCTCTTATTGGAGCAAGTTCTTCGCTGTACTTAAGAAGGATGGGAAGAGTATCAGACTGGTGCACTCGCTAGAACCACTCAATGCAATTACTATCGCACATTCAGGATTGCCGCCCGCGACAGAGGAGTTAGCAAACCACTTCGCCGGTCGCGCCTGTGGTGCTGCGCTAGATTTGTACTCAGGCTACGACCAGCGTGACATCGATCCAGCTAGTCGCGACTTGACTACATTCCAGTCACCGTTCGGTGCGCTGAGGTTGGTCAAACTCCCACAAGGATGGACCAACTCAGTACCCATATTCCATGAGGACGTTACTTTCATTTTGAAAGACGAAATCCCTCATGTTACTATTCCATACATCGACGACGTACCCGTTCGAGGACCTGGAACCAGGTATCTGTTACCCGATGGAACCTGTGAAACGATTCCGGAAAATCCTGGGATCCGTCGCTTCGTATGGGAACACTTTCAGAATGTGAACCGCGTCGTGCACAGAATCGGCTACTGTGGCGCGACTCTGTCTGGTACCAAGTCGGTGGTTTGCGCCGACGAGTTCGCTGTGGTTGGCCACATCTGTTCGTTTGAAGGTAGAAAACCTGACGCGGACAGAGTTGGTGTAATCATGCGTTGGCCAGACTTGAGGGACGTCTCGGAGGTTCGACAATTTATGGGCACGATTGGGGTCATGCGAATGTTCATTAGAGGATTTTCTGAAATGGCGCGACCAATTCAGAGACTGGTGAACAAGAATGCGCATTTTGAATGGGGTGACAAACAGAAACTCGCATTTCAAAGACTTAAAGACGCGATACAAGTCTGTCCGTCGCTTAAGCCTCTGAACTATGAGTGGGACTCCGAGATTGTCGTCGCAATAGACACATCCTGGATGGCCGCGGGTTTCGAAATTTACCAGCGCGACCCAGATGATCCAAAGAAGGTCTATTACGCGAAATTTGGGAGTATCCCACTTACAGAAAGAGAAGCTAGGTTTTCTCAACCGAAGCGTGAACTTTATGGTGTGAAGCGCGTGCTTCAAGCCATGGCTCACTGGCTTCTTGGTTGTAGAAAATTGGTAGTCGAAACCGACGCGCTGTACTTGGCAGGCATGCTAAGGAACGTTGGTAACCTGCCAAATGCAAATATCAACCGTTGGGCTGAGGAGATCCTCATGTTTCAGTTTACCTTGAAACATGTCAGAGGAATCACCTTCTCACCAGATGGCTTGTCGCGACGACGACCTGCACCTGGAGATGAAGAGTATCCCAATGACGAAGAGGAAATCTTCGACGAGCCACCACCAGAGAACAACGAGAATTGGGACTACGACACAGAACAACCATTAGACTTTGAAGAGTTCAAAAGGGATATTGACACCAGAGGTGGCTACCTTAACTCTATGGTCGGGTGTGCTGAGTCGGTCGACGACATATCCAAAGAGCTGGTCGAAGCTTGCGACTCTCGTCGCGCTGAGAATCGGCGTGTCAAAGACGCATATGACGCTCAAGGACTCGTCGTTCCAGTCTTCATGCTGAACGATGTGGCAAACGGAGAACCGCTTTTGCCTGATCTTGAACTGCGCGACAATCCTGAGGATCCCTATATTGAGGATCACCGGACGGGCACAGGGATTGAACAGGACAATAAGTTGGTAATGGCTAGGAAGTGGTTGAAAGACACTTCTATAAGGCCTGAAATGACAGATAAACGGTTCAGATCGTTTCTCAAATTCTCGCGACAGTTTTTCCTCAAAAATGGAAAAATGTACAAGAGATCGACCAACGGGATTCATAGACTGGTCGTGGACAAGCACCACAGGACTTATATGATGAAGGCGTGTCACGACGCGCTGGGTCATAAGGGTCTTTTCAGCACTAAGAGCCTGTTGGAAACTCGGTTTTGGTGGCCTGAGATGGAAAGAGACGTCGACTGGTGGATAAAGACTTGTCATAGCTGCCAAGTCCGCCAGAAAACTCTCCTCCGTACTCCACCGACGCCGACAATGACTCCAAGTGTATTTCAGAAAATACATACAGACGTCATGATTATGGGAACACCTTCCAACGGATACAGATATGTCGTCGCAGCAAGGGATTCTTTGACCCGCTACGTGGAAGCGCGACCGCTGCAGGCTGACAACGCCAAGGCAATCGCGCGTTTCTTGCTCGAGGACATAGTGTGTCGCTGGGGGTGTCCTAAGTGGATTGTAACCGACAACGCAGGACAATTTGTCGCGGCGTTGAATTGGCTACAGAAGAAATATGGTATCAAGGGAATAAGGATATCTCCTTACAATTCCCAAGCGAATGGCACTGTTGAAAGAGGTCACTGGGACATTCGACAGTCACTGTACAAAGCTACTGGGGGAAACGCCTCCAAATGGTTTTGGTTCTTCCCACAGGTCTTGTGGGCAGATAGAATTACAGTGCGTCGCGGGCTGGGTTGTTCACCATACTTCGCAGTATGTGGGGCCCACCCTACCATCCCTCTGGATATAGTCGAAGCTACGTGGTTAGTCGAATATCCTGACCGGATCGTCGACTCTGCGGATCTCATTGGTCTCAGAGCACGCGCTCTAGCGAAACACGCCGACCATATAGAAGATATGCGCAGCCGCGTCAGCGACGCCAAACTAAAGATGGTTCAACGCTACGAACTCGAGTACAAACATGTGATCAAAGATTACAAGTTTGTGCCAGGGGACTTAGTGTTGGTCAGGAACACAGCTATTGAAAAATCATTGGACAACAAGATGAAAGCTAGATATCTTGGTCCCATGATTGTAGTTCGAAAGACCAAAGGAGGTTCTTACTTGGTCTGTGAAATGAACGGTGCGATGTTCCATGCGAAAGTCGCGGCGTTCCGAGTAATACCCTATTTGGCAAGACAGAAGTTGACACTCTCTGAAGATATAAAGAAGCTGATAGACATTTCGCCTGCTAAACTCGATGAGTTGGTGGAGGAAATATCTGACGTCCGCGACTACCAGTTCGAAGGCGTGAAACTCAAGAACTCGGACAGTGACGACGACGACGACCCTGTAGAGGATCCAGCTTCTGTCGAGTGAAAGTCTGGCAGACAAGCAATTGTCGCGGCAGGCTCTCGCACGACAAGACGTCGCTTCTCTCAGTTTTAGACAGAATTCAGTATATTGCTTGGGTGCTAGCTGGTACCTAAGGACTATACTGGGTTGTATCTAAAAGAAAAAGGTCATAAAGGAGGTGCGCGAGAAGAAGAGACGCGACTTCATAAATAAGTGACATGAGAGAAGAGAGGCATATGGAAGGAGAGTGCAGATAGAACAAAATAGGAAAAGATTAGGCCGCATTCTTTGACATCGAGAGGTCAATGGCTTCCTTGACGTCCTTGAGCGCGGTCTTCCATTCCTCTAGCCGCGACGTGACGTAGTCGCGTTCCTCGATGAGGAGCTCGAGTGGAATGGACCGCCGCAACCGGTACAATTGATGTCGATGCACTCGGTCCGCAATAAACCTTCGGTCGGACGCGGACGCTGCCAATCGGTTAGCGAGGTGTCGCGACAGGAGGTGGAACTGCGAGACTCACCCGGGGTCGCATCAGTGGTACTGTTGCTGAGTCGCTGCCTCTTCGAGCCGGTGACAACGAACGATGGCTGGGTAATTGGTCAGAAATGTAGTCGCCGCGACTGAGTAAAACTCACGTCTGGAAACTCTGGAGACAGCTCCCTAGAGCCTCCATCTGCTCCGCGTGAAGTTTCGACATTTTGGCGCTGAGAAGACGCATCGACCTATCGTGCTCGTCTATGAGTCGAATGATAGTCCCATAGACGTCCGCGAGCCCTACGGAGTCGTCATGACCAGATCCGTCGACCGATCGAGAACCGGACCGTCCTGCGACGGTCTTGCGAGTAGATGGTCGCGGGGTCTGTGAAAAATCAACCTGTGCTCGGCAAAGGCTCGAGACGGACGCACCTTCTCTTGAACAGGAGTGGGGGCCTCCATCTCGACGTCTGAATCAATGTCGATGGCAGGAGTTGGGCCTGAAGCCTCAGGAACAGGGTCTTCGGCCTGTGCAACAATATCCGTAAGAAAATCTGGACAAAGACAGGGAATCATACCTTGGCCTTCCCAGACGACGACGGAGTCGCAGCAGGACGTGGGATGCTCTCCTGAGCCTGTCGCAGGCTGATGATCGCCGCGACAAGGGACTCATGCCAAATCAGATAGGCTCGATACTTGTTGACGGCCTTAGTCTGAGAGGCGTCGCGCTGCTTCTCTGGAACTTCCTTGAGCAGTTCCGTCTGAGACAGAGCGAGCGTGGTGGCCTCCTCGAGACAATCCAAAACGTCGCGGGGAGGATCTTGAGCA